TAACTACCCCACTCCAGGTTATACAGTATAAATTAGACAGCTATATGTATTAAATCCAAAACATACCCCAGTCTGTGTTAATTAATAAAAACTATCCATATTATAAGTAACATTTACAGGAAATTTCAGAATTACCTAAATGTCAATGGATTTTTGTGATATGTACACCATGTAGCCCCTTCACATAGACTATGGTCTCCAAACATATGAGGAACAACCATCTCCAATTTTGACATCAGTTCTTCTTCAGATGTATGTTTGGTGGATATGGCATACATAAAGCATCTGACCACATAGGAAATTGTACCAGCCGGTTTGAGTTGTTTATAAAGCTTGGCGAGCTTATAAAGCTGTTTGGTCAAGTTTTTCTTTAAGCGATTCTTATCCTGCTTTTTTTTGAAGAGATGGGAACATATTCTTTAACCGAGCAGCAGTCGTCGAATCATTGTCTGCGTGGATTGTCTGGACCTCACATCCATCTTCCCTCATCCTATTTAACATTGCTGAGGCCATATCTGGTTCCATTGCCTTACTAGAACCTATAAATCAAGAAACATCAATCAAATCAAATGCAAATTTTGTTCAATTCTCAGAAAATTACAGGTTCGAGTAACCTGTTAACCGATTAGAAATTGCCATTCCTAATATATATATAGAGACAGACACATGGATAAACAGGAAGTTGATATCAGACTCGTACAAATATGAATCCCACCATATAACATGCCTAAACAAAGAATGTGCTAAAATTTCAAGTGTTATAAGAAGTTTCTGAGAAAACAGTGACAAAAATTTGCTACGGACAGAAACACAGACACAGACACACAAGGGTAAAACAGTACACCCCCCTATCTTTCGGAGCGGGGGTATAATGAGTTAAGGCAGGTTTGTTCATTATAAAAATTTGTTTGCATGCACTGAAGCAGTTTTGAGACTTATACATCTATCAAAGACTAATTCAATGCTTATATTTACATTTTTTTCACTCATTGCCTTATCTGCAAAATGTTATACATACATGTACATTGTATTTCAAAATACCCCATTATCTTTCGGGTAAGTTATTATTAATGGAAAAGCCGTTCAAACAGCTACTTACTCTTAAACTGTTCAATGTGAGAGTGAAATTTGGTTTTTGCTTCTTAAGAAGGTGAACTAGCTTGCCCAACTTTCAATGTTTGTGTCGATCATCAATATGATTAATAAAAACTAAGAGACAGATAACTGGTGATTCCTAATAAATATTACAGTGGATAGCTCATTTTATCTCATACGTGTGGTGGATACTACCCATAAGATAAACCTATGCTTTATCAATGGCACTTCCGGTTTTGACATAATCCCTCAGCCTCGCTTCAAGATGTAAATTTATCAAAACTTCTAATTGTGAAAGTTCTGTTATCAAATGAATGCTAATAAGCAAAAGTTTTCGTTAAAAACAAGAAAAAAACTCGTAACACTTCAGTGAAATGTCAAAATTTATCAATGTACAGGCTACAGCGATGGATGATATTAACCCCCCCCCCCCCCAATAGATTCACAGGGATTATCTCAAAGTTTGTTAAAAACGAAAATTGTATGAGATAAATAGAACATCTATAATTGTGTGTTTTGATATTTGCCTTATCCAACTCGTTGAAATTGTGAATATTCACTCGGCAAGCCTCGCGAATAAACACCATTCAACAAGTTGTATAAAGCAAAGTATCAAAACACACTATATAGATATCCTCTATTGATAAATATATCATACAAGACATTTACATACAAAAATGTTTCAAAACATACAAACCTGACCAATTACTGCTGCAGTCATGATTTGGAACCGTTTCATTCCTACCAAAATGGTATTGACAGACTCGACATATCTTTGATCTCACATCATATTCAAGAACTTTTCCACTGTGAACACCAATAAGGCTCGCATGACCTGTTATATTAATTAATGAGATTAATTTCTAAACTGATCGATACAATGGAATAGGGGAACAACGTCATTACACAATTAATCACTGTACCTATACATGATGAAATATATTATCTAACATATAATATCAAAAAATATAACTGGAGTCCATGGATATCAAAATATGTTTTCCAAAGTGTGTATTTTAATTAAAATATTGCATAAATTTATGTGTGTATAGCTTGGGTAGTTTACACTCCATAAATTGCTAAATTTTATTTTTTTTTTTACACTTTTCAACATTAATCAGCATAATTTAGATGATGACATTACCAGTATTACTATTATACTGACAGCCAGACCCCCTGGTCTGCCAACCAGCATCAAAGCTACATTCCAGTTGGTCTGCTGTAGCATTCATTTCTTCTTCTCTTGCTCTTTGACACGACTCCTTGGCCTGGCAAACAATAGAAGCTGAGATCTCTTTTTCCTTCTTCCTCAAAGTGGTGGCATCAATAGGTGGAATGTTGCAGGTGCTAAGAAAATTTACAACATGGGTTGGTCCCATACCAGAATGTATCATGGCTGAAAAAAAATAGGCAAAACCAAATTTATAGCTGATTGAAAAATCTAATTTTTACCAGCTTTTCATATATAAAGACCCAATATATACGGTTTGAACAGCTCAACAATTTTACTTTTTAATTATCTTTACAGCACTTTTAAGGTCATATAAAGGATTGATATCCATAGGATCATTGTTTAAACCTTGCATGCAGATTCAATCCATACCAACTTTAAATTTCAATTGTATGAGCAACACTAAATAACATTTTTCGTAAATTTTGGTATGGCCCATACTTGGAGTTGAACGCTGCCATTTATTACTCCTGACTAACCCTAATGGACCTTTGAAAGTGCTCTATTCATATTATTAATAAATGGCATAAAGAAATCTGTAGGAAGACAGCTGGGGCCATAACTCACTTATCCTGAGTTTGTAGTACTTTGTACCATCCTTCCAATCTAGATCTATCGAATTATTCCCCAATTTAAGGTGCACATCTTTGATTGTGCCTGTACAGTTAACTAATGATATATATTACCTATCAGTTGCATTGTTGCATAAATTACATGAAAAATAGATAAGCAATACTGGATATTAACTACTTGCTGCCCCTCCCCCAAAATGATGGAGTATTGACACTCAATTTGAGTAACACTCCACAAAGGGAAGAAGAAGAAAATACATGTATACATGCAATCAATTTATAATACAGATAGCAAAAAATGGAGGGTATTTCTCTATAATAATTACTTTTTTTTTTTTAAATTTGTAATTAAATAAATTGAATATAATCAGAGACATTAAAACATATCTATGATATAATTTAGAAAACATGTATAATCAATATTTTAAAAAAACTCGAATTTATGAAAATTGCAATTATGATGGAATAAGTTTGAAATATTCATGTCAAGTGATAAACAAGTACATCATGTTACAATTTGACTTACCCAGAGCTACTTTTGAGTTGATGTCAAAGGCACCTTTTTCGTTCCTCTTTCCTGTACACACTGTGTTGGTAAATTCACAAATACTACTGTCGCACTTGATGTAAAGTAAACTGCCGAGCCCATACCGCTTTTCATTTACGATGTTACATAAATGCAAACGATTGTTACACCGTTTACATACCAGCTGGTCTGCCAAGAACTTGAGCTCCACAATCCGCCGCCCCTCGTTCCATCTGACGTCTTCCTCCGTTCCACACGTTTCGATGCATAGGCCAACACCAAGATCATCTCCAGCTATGTCGTCTGCTTCAGGATTAGAGGTTAAGTTGTTTGCCATGTAGGAATGGTCAACTTCGTAAGAAACTATCTCATTGTCCTGTTTGCTAACACTGTTTAATTGTCTCATATGCGCTGATTTCCTTGATCTGCCTTTGCTGCAAAACTTCCCTTTAACTTTTCCCGGCAACCTGTCTTGACGTTGTTTACAGTCCGCCATGTTGAACGACGCACTTCCGGAATAAACGGACCGAATATTTTTTAATTTTAGAATTCACGTGTTATGTCACGTGATCACTATCCGTAGCTACGTTAAATGTAAACTGCTAAATATGAAAACTTAGCATTTTAGGTGTACAGTATGTCTCAGCTATTTCATAGATAAGATCATAATTCAGTTGTTTGTCTTTCAAACATTTAAATTACGATTTAGCAATTGCAATTACAATTGGAAGTTCCAACTTATTTTAAAACGCATGAATAATGTCAACAAATGAATTTGAACGCTTTTTTTTATTAAGATAATCTTATCAATTTCACTCCGTCCGATATATCGAAAATAAATTTAACACCTTTTCTTCTTCTTCTTTCGAGATATACTTGGCTTGTAAGTTAAGAAAAATAAAAGTGATAATTCTACGTCGAATGTACGGTGAAATTCTTGAAAATTTATCAACGTTCTCCATATTATCACTTACAAACTTGTACATGTTTCGATCGCCATCAAAACAGTAATGATCGATTTCACTACTGTATTTGGAATATACAAGGGGCGGGGCTTACTGGCGGCAAGATTGAAGCGGGGTCCGCTTCACGCATGAGTGCGTAAAGCGAACCCGGAAAGCGAACGCCGGGTTCGCTCTAGCGGACCCAGAGCTGACCCCGAGCGAACGCAAAGCGAACCCGAAGCGCACCCAGAGCGGTCCCAAATTTTCTGAAAGCGGACCCGCAGCGGACCCCGAGCGAACCCAGGAAGCGAACCCGGGGTGCGCTTTGGGTTCGCTCTGGTGTTAGGTTGTGTCCGGTCGGTACTGTAATTAATGAAATTACAGCTAAAATACAATATACGCATCTGAAATGTTCCACAGCAGATTAAATTGAACTTTCTTTTTCTAACAATTGTTACATTGTTAACTGCAATTTAACAGTGAAGTGTGAAATCGGACCTATTGTTCGCAACCTTGTACCTGTTAAAATCGCTCATGCATATCGCATATATGATGCAATCGGCCAAGTTTTGAAGCATACTACACCGAAATAATATTTAAAATAATACCTTACATTTTATAAATTTACCCAGATAGCAGAACATCGTTGGCCCAATCTTACATTATGGTTGTATTATCGCTGTTGGGTTACCTTTATTGGGCCAACGGTGGTCCAACATGGAATATTGATAGTTGGTTATGTATAATGGGGCCAATGTTGGGCTAACTGTTGGCGTTATATCATTAAACTATTATTATGAGAGAAAACATTTGTTGGGGGATTGGTATCGGCCCCAAGTTGGCCCAATATACCATGAATCTGGCTGAGCATCATGGGCAGACAACATCCGGGCTACTTGTAATATCCGCGCCATTTTTAATCTGACACGAACGTAATGAGACTGATACCTTGCATATCTGCATCCACTTTGTAAGTATTTATAATATGTTTGCTTTGACACAGCTTAATTAACGTTTATAGTTTAAACGATGTCGAGTACAAATCTGTGTAAATCAGACACGGGGAAGTGCAGAGGCCAGGTGCTGTTGGGTCAACACTGTCCCAGATAGCATGCTAACGTTTGGCCAATGTCATCGGTTACATTGGGCCAATGTTGGCAAATGACATTGGCCCAATGTAAGTTTGCTCATCGGCCAAATGTTGGCCCGATATGTTGGGCCAACGTTGGCCCAATGTAGAGTGTTATTTCTCTATTTTCTATTTGGTCCAATGAATGCGACATTGTGCCAATGTTGGCCCAACGTCAACAAGAACATTGGGCCGATGTTTGCAAATGACGTTGGCCCAGTGTCATTTTGCTCATTGGCCCAATGTTGGCCCGATATATTGGACCAACATTGGGTCAATGTGTATAACCATTTAATTGTTACAAATCTGTATATTGACAAATCCGATCGTCTCTACAATCAGAAATAAATCTACCACCAATCCTACTTGAAAATACAAGTTAGCTAAAATAAATTTACAAGGCTTGTTAAAATTCTTATAATTTGTCAAAACAAAATAATCAGTGATTAAATTTATTGTTTCTATACAAGAAAAATAAATGAAAGTATAAAATAACAAATGTGTTTTGATACAGTTAAAACAATAAATAATTTGCCCCTTATTTAGATTGAAATTTGTGTCTAGTAGAATAAATTTCCGAAATCTACCACTCATTTTACTTATATACACTTAACGTCGAGCACATGATCAAACATGTTGAACATGTTGAAGTTAAAAAAAAAAAATTATTCAGTACTAAAACATAAATTGGGTTCTTTCATTTAAAATTTGTTCAGTGTACCGACAAATTTTCTATACATGTATTTTACTTTGAATAATGATTTATATGGGGCAACATTGAATCAAAATCGGTGTGATGATGATGGTCAAGCGTAGAAATTTTATGCATAAATGCCTTCATCACGCAAGCTAATCGCTTAATCACACCATGAAACAAAAAAGACGGTTATTCCTTAATTGACAGCTTAAACATATAGTGATATACTTGTAAATACTTGTAAATGTAATCGTAAGTACCAAATACTACAATTTTAGTGCTACTGGAGATTCTAAAAAGACATTGAGAACACAATCAAAGAATGGCTAAGGTATGCCTAGGACAGGGATGGGGGAGGAAGAAACGGACAGAGAAGAAAAGAAGGCGGAGGAGGAGACTCGGGAGAGAGAAGAGGAGACTTAGGAGAGGGATCAGATGGAAAGTGGCAGTGCCTAACTTTTTTCTGTTATATACTGTGACATACCAGTAGATCTACCCTTTTCTGTGTCTGTTTGTCGGTAACAAACACGATGCAGATGCCAGAAACATTTTTTTGTGTAAGTAAACAAAGTGGCGGGATTCATTTTAGTATTATTTTAAGAACAGGAGGGCTTTGTTTATTTTTTAGACGTGCTTATTGATACCTGCAATTTACTGAACTTGTGCATAATTTACATCAGAGAGGGAGTATACAGTCATGTAACCCTACATGTATCGCTTCAAGTGAGCATCAAATTTTTGTTCTTTATTAATGTTTTCTTCATGCACTGAGCAATAAAATACTAGTATGTTATAATTTAATTTTATATTTTGACTTCTTTTTCCTCAGTTTTTTTTTAAATTAATGTAGAGCTACGTACAATGCAATACTTTGTGATGGTAATTCTATGAGATATTGACCGTTCACGGTAGCTCAGTCGGTAGAGCGCTCGCTTCGTGATCGGGAGGTCGTGAGTTCGAATCTCGGCCGCGACAGACCTAAGTCGATAAAAAATAGGTAGCAACTGTTCCTTCGCCATGCGCTCGGCACTTTGAAGTGAAAGTTGCGGGTCTTTCGGATGAGACCTTAAAAACCGAGGCCCCGTGTCACGGCAGGCGTTGGCACGATAAAGATCCCTCACTGCTCAATGGCCCTGAGTGCCGAGTAAAGGTCAAAATTTGAAGCCCTTCACCGGTATATGGTGACGTCTCTATATGAGTGAAAAATTCTCGAATGGGACGTAAAACAATATACAATCAATCAATCAACATCTATGAGATATTGTGAATATGTATTAAACTATTAATCTAGCATATATAGTATTAAAGGGCTTTTACCATTAAACTGTACTACAAAACTAGTATAACCTTATTATATATAGTTTGTTATTCAATTTTGAGGACAAATGGCCAACCAGTGAAGAGCAAATGAGTTGTCCTGTAGGAGAGCCAATAAGATACAAACCAACGTTGGCCCAAAAATGATGTTTGCCCAATATTGAAAGAATAAGTGGCCCAACAATGGCTAAATAATATCCGTTCGTTGGTCCAACAATAAGCCAACAAGTTGGTCTGATTAAGGGCCGATGAGCAAATTACCGTTGGCCCAACATTAATTGCTTACAATGGCCCAACTGTACAAAAATGACGTTTGCCCAATATTGAAAGAATACATTGGCCCAACAGTGGCCCAATATTAACTGTTACATTGGCCCAACAATAAGCCAACAAGTTGGTTTGATTAAGGGCCGATGAGCAAATTACCGTTGGCCCAACATTAATTGCTTACAATGGCCCAACTGTACAAAAATGACGTTTGCCCAATATTGAAAGAATACATTGGCCCAACAGTGGCCCAATATTAACTGTTACATTGGCCCAACAATAAGCCAACAAGTTGGTTTGATAAAGGGCCGATGAGCAAATTACCGATGGCCCAATGTTGAATGCATACGGTGGCCCAACATAAGGAGCATTGTTGGCCCAACAAAGGTCCAATAACATCCTTCTATCTGGGTAATGCTTCCATTGGGATGCACATATATTGAAATAATGCGTCCTGAGCAAAATTCATGCGTAATTTACGCATGACGCACACCAAAATGAATCACTGTTAACATAGTTAAAGTGTTAAACATATAAAATCATTTTGAAATTTAAAATGTAAACTGACCCTAGAACAAACATAAATGGGTCTCTTCTGAGAGAGAATAGTCCCCTCTTGTTTTTTTTTTTCAGGAAAAATGGTTGTGCAATTTTTAAACATAATTAAAATCCTTATCTTTGAACTAAGAACTGGGTTGCACCTTCTCCATCTGTCCATATATGAGGTTTCTTGTGTGAAGTCTCTTAATATTTCATTGGTGTATAACAGTATGTGAGTTGAGGGAATCTTGTATGGGGTCAAACAATGTATAAAATGAAAACGGAACATTACATTAACTCGCACTCTTAACAAAACCAAAAAATTGATTATTTTTTTGAAATATGTAGTTTGTAAGCAAAATAAATGTGGAATATAAATATTTTAGGATGTCAGCATCACAGTCTTCAGCTGAAAGCTCACAACCTTCCTCAGCAAGTGATGACCCCTTGCCAATCCCAACATGAATTGGAAAGACCAGGACGTGGAGGATACAGGTGCTCCTGACCCAAGAACCACCTCTTTCCACCCTGCACGGGAGCCAGGTGTCCAGCTGGGACGTTTACTGAGGTATTAACAAAGGGGTGAAATAATCGATTGCTTTACTGTGATCTATCTGCTAATGGTATGATTACCAGAGTACTGGAAATTCAGAAAATAAAAATTATACACATCTGAGGCTCCCAGCTTTATGATTGTATCCTCAGACAGGGTAATTAGTACTGCTGGCCACATGTGATACACAGATATTTCATGCTGCATGTTTCTACTTTGTGTATGATATTTATCCCTAGTATTTTATAATATAAATATTACTCTATCAAGTTTATTTCAAAGATTTCTGTAATTTCTACAACTGTAGATTCTTATTAAAGGGTGGAATTTATTTTCATGTAATTTCGTAAGAAGCAGAGATTATGTTATAACGCTCTTTTATTTTTATTAATTAAACACATAAGAAAACTTGAGCGCTACAATCCACTCAAGAATTTATATTCTCCCAATTTGAACCCAATGAGTCAATTGGCAATATTAAGCACTCAAGTAAACCAGAAGTCTCTGATGAGACTGTAGCTCTACTGGTCTGTTTGTATAACAAAAGAAAAGTAGCACTTGGATTTGAAACATTGCAACATGCAACAATAAATAGAATTATGTATCTTAATGTAGTCTACTTTTGTGACAAGTTATACTGAAATCAAATGAAAACTAGGAGTAGTAGCCTTTTGAAAGTATTTCACGGAAATTTCTATTTTTAGTAACCATGACAACACCATTCACCCAAATAAAAAAAAACAGAAATACATATTATGTATCGTAGTGTATTCTAACTGTGTGCCAAATTAGATTGAAATCAGACCAAAATTGTAGGAGGAGTAACGTTTAATGGGAATTTCACAAAAATTTCTATTTTAAGTAACCATGGCAACACTGTTCATCGAATTCAAAAACCAATGCAATAAATTATGTATCTTAGTATAGTCTTCTTGTATGCCTAATTATATTAGAAGCAGACTAAAACTGTAGCAGGAGTAGCGTTTTAAAGAAATTTCACAGAAATTTCTATTTTTAGTAACCATGGCAACACCGTCCATCGAAATCAAAAACCGATGCACTAAATTGTGTATCTTAGTGTAGTCTACTTGTGTGCCAAGTTATATTGAATCGGACTAAAACTGTAGGAGGAATAGCGTTTTAAAGGAATTTCACAGAAATTTCTATTTTTAGTAACCATGGCAACACCGTCCATCGAAATCAAAAACCGATGCACTAAATTATGTATCTTAGTGTAGTCTACTTGTGTGCCAAGTTATATTGAAATCGGACCAAAACTGTAGGGGGAGTAGCGTTTTAAAGGAATTTCACAGAAATTTCTATTTTTAGTAACCATGGCAACACCGTCCATCGAAATCAAAAACCGATGCACTAAATTATGTATCTTAGTGTAGTCTACTTGTGTGCCAAGTTATATTGAAATCGGACCAAAACTGTAGGGGGAGTAGCGTTTTAAAGGAATTTCACAGAAATTTCTATTTTTAGTAACCATGGCAACACCGTCCATCGAAATTGAAAAAACCGATGCACTAAATTATGTATCTTAGTGTAGTCTACTTGTGTGCCAAGTTATACTGAAATCGGACCAAAACTGTAGGAGGAGTAGCGTTTTAAAGGAATTTCACAGAAATTTCTATTTTTAGTAACCATGGCAACACCGTCCATCGAAATCAAAAACCGATGCACTAAATTATGTATCTTAGTGTAGTCTACTTGTGTGCCAAGTTATATTGAAATCGTACCAAAACTGTAGGAGGAGTAGCGTTTTAAAGGAATTTCACAGAAATTTCTATTTTTAGTAACCATGGCAACACCGTCCATCGAAATCAAAAACCGATGCACTAAATTATGTATCTTAGTGTAGTCTACTTGTGTGCCAAGTTATATTGAAATCGTACCAAAACTGTAGGAGGAGTAGCGTTTTGAAGGAATTTCACAGAAATTTCTATTTTTAGTAACCATGGCAACACCGTCCATCGAAATCAAAAACCGATGCACTAAATTATGTATCTAAGTGTAGTCTACTTGTGTGCCAAGTTATATTGAAATCGGACCAAAACTGTAGGGGGGGTAGCGTTTTAAAGGAATTTCACAGAAATTTCTATTTTTAGTAACCATGGCAACACCGTCCATCGAAATCAAAAACCGATGCACTAAGTTATGTATCTTAGTGTAGTCTACTTGTGTGCCAAGTTATACTGAAATCGGACTAAAACTGTAGGAGGAGTAGCGTTTTAAAGGAATTTCACAGAAATTTCTATTTTTAGTAACCATGGCAACACCGTCCATCGAAATCAAAAACCGATGCACTAAATTGTGTATCTTAGTGTAGTCTACTTGTGTGCCAAGTTATATTGAAATCGGACCAAAACTGTAGGAGGAGTAGCGTTTTAAAGGAATTTCACAGAAATTTCTATTTTTAGTAACCATGGCAACACCGTCCATCGAAATCAAAAACCGATGCACTAAATTATGTATCTTAGTGTAGTCTACTTGTGTGCCAAGTTATATTGAAATCGGACCAAAACTGTAGGAGGAGTAGCGTTTTAAAGGAATTTCACAGAAATTTCTATTTTTAGTAACCATGGCAACACCGTCCATCGAAATCAAAAACCGATGCACTAAATTATGTATCTTAGTGTAGTCTACTTGTGTGCCAAGTTATATTGAAATCGGACCAAAACTGTAGGAGGAGTAGCGTTTTGAAAAATTGTTTACAGACAGACGGACAGACAGACAGACAGACAGACAGACAGACAGACGCACGGACGACGGACACCTTACTATCGCATAAGCTCTTCTGGTCTCTGACCAGTAGAGCTAAAAAAGGAACCTATTGTAATTTTAGTAAGTTTATAGTAATTAAAATTTACAAAAGTTGTGAAAAATCATTTGCTTTTCTGAAACATATTTAGAACCATGATTATTGCATGTACATTCACTATTTTTACTAATGTTGATTTTTATTGATTTTAGATTTGGAGCCAGAATGTTAAAGGAGCCTGCTGATTTTTTTAAACTGTTTTTAACGGAGGCAATTGTGTTTTCAATCTGCGTTGCAACAAACCACCATTCCCAAATGCTTATAGACAAAGGAGGGAGATCATCTAATTCTCCTCATGGGACTTGGGATCCTCTTACTTCAGAAAAATTATATGGTTATGTGATTGTATGTGAAGATTAGTATGTGCAACAATTCATTTATTTCAGTGCACTTTCAAACAATATCCAAAGGTCTGAGAAAAGTTTCATGATTCAGATTTTGTGTAGTTTACATTGACCAAAATTTCAGTAAAATCTAAGATCAATGGAAAATAAATAAGTAAACATATGTAGTACTTGCTGGAAAATAATTGATCTAATTCAGTTTGAAGAAAATGGATGTGATGGAATCTGGTGATGCATTATGTTAGAATTTCATTATCCTCTTTCTCAGATTCTTTGGCATCATTATGTACATGTCCGTTGTAAAGTTCCAGTCACTAGACAGGTATTGGTCAACATCTCCAATGTATATGAACAACCCCGTTTAAGATATTATATCCCGTAACAGATTTTAGGCCATCTTGTCCTTCCTCCAAGTAACCCCACCAGCAGATATTGACAAAGGTATTCTTACATTTGATGTGGATGTGCATATTTTATTAAAAAAAAAAAAAAAAAAAAAAAAAAAAAATCAGTATAATTTCAAAATGTTCAACTTCCCTTACTATTTTTTTTTAATTACCCATTCAATTTGATAACACATTCAGAAATATTTCCTTACAACAGGAGAGAAACTAACTAGAATACAGGCACTAATTAACCATGTTCGAGACACTTTGAAAGAATTATTCCAGCCTTTTCGAGAAGTAGCAGTTGACGAAAGAATGGTGGCCTCAAAACACAAGTACTCCGGAATAAGACAGTTTGTGAAAGACAAGCCAGTCCGATTTGGGATTAAGCTTTGGGTTGTTGCTTGTAATATGACCGGTTATACTTTTGATTTTTTTTTGTATATTTGGGGAAGAAGAATACAGTATTTATGGATAAAACAAAAGGTCTTGCATTCAATGTTACTATGACATTTTGTAAATCTTTTTTGATCAAGGTTACAAAGTTTTTACAGATTGTTTTTACACTTCATTTGCACTTGGCAAAGAACTGTTACAGAAGAAAGTTTATCTTGTTGGTGTGTTAAAATCAAATAGTTTATCTATTCCTAGTGAATTGAAAGATGTTAAAAGTTGGGAAGAAGTTGCAAGACAAGGTGATTTTAGATGGCATCGAGAAAATGAATTTGTTTTTGTTCAATGGAAAGATTGTAGTTACATTTATGTCATCTTTACATCAAGGTTCAGCCACAACTGTTTGTGATAGAACATTGAAATCTAGATTAACATGGGCTAAGAAAGAACTTGTACAACCTGTTGTAGCTAGAGATTATAACAAATGTATGGGAGCTGTAGATTTGTCAAATCAATTTACTAGTAAATATCCTTCTTATATTAGAACGCAATTGCACTGGTGGAAAGTACTGTTCTTTCATTTACTTGATATTATGGCAGGTCTTCCAACAATCTATTGGAATTCCCATGGGTACCAATTGCGCCCCGTTATTAGCAGACCTTTTTTTGTATTCATATGAAGCAGAATTTGTCCAAAATCTTGTACGTGAAAAGAAGAAAACACTTGCTGTGGCCTTCAACTCGACATTTAGATATATCGACGACGTATTGTCAATTAACAATGGCTATTTCCATTCTTATGTCGATACGATATATCCTTGTGAACTTGAGATAAAAGATACCACAGAGTCTGACACATTTGTTTCATATTTGGATATTTTACTTGAAAAAGACGTTAATGGTAATCTAACAACCAAGCTTTATGATAAACGTGATGACTTTTAACTTTTCAATCGTCAACTTCCCTTACTTATGCAGCAATATACCTTCATCACCTGCATACGGGGTATATATCTCTCAGTTGATTCGATACGCAAGAGCATGCTCTACGTATGTCTTTTTTCTAAAACGAGGTAAATTATTGACAAATAAGTTGATGAAACAAGAATATCAGCTGTCTCGTTTAAAGTCATCATTTCGTAAGTTCTATGGTCGATACAATGACCTTGTCAGCAAATACAATTTATCATTGAGTCAAATGCTGACGGACGTTTTTCACACTAATTTGGCCATTATTTACACACTGAATTGTCGACAGATTTTTCCGTTATTTCCCGATCATGGCAAGGAGCACACGGCGGGTGTGACCGGTCGGCAGGGGATGCTCTCTCCTCCATGGTACCTGATCCCACCTCTGATGTTTGGAGGTCCGTGTTTGCTCTGCTCCTATTTTGTATTGATTAATGGACTTTTGAGCTTGAATGCTGTTCGTTATCTCCATATATTTCATCCTATTTCAAGAATTTAGAAAAACACATGAAAATCAGTTTTCAAATTGTACATCAAATTTTGGGCAGCTTGAGTTTCGTGAAGTACTTGCATTGTCTCTTATGGGGTTAAAGGACAAACCTAATGTTTCTGTGTCAAATACAACCAACGAATGTATTCCACAAGTATTTGATAAAAGAAAGGATTGTGTTTATTGTAATGCAGAAGCCATTTATTTGAAAAAGAAATGTACAAGTTATAAAACTTATATTTACTGTCCATCTTCTGAGGTTCCTTAATGCTTGACAAGGGAAAGAAATTGTTTTAAAAAATGGCACAGCAATGATGGGAAACCTGTAAGGAACTGTGCTGATACATTTTGTAGAAAAAGAAAATTGTAAACAATTATTTTCTTGCTGATGTATTCCACTGTACAATGAACATTGTTGTAGCAGTGTGTCATGTATATAAAGAAAGTTAATAATAATATTTTTCACGACACAAAATATGTACATATTTCTGATGTTACTGTATTACAAGTGAATGCAAATGTATACATTCATTCAGTCTTGTTAATGAGTAAATACAGAACTAAATATTGTCCAAAAGAGATTGAACAATTGATTTTTTAGTGCTGGAAAAATTTGATGCTGGGTTTTAATGACAATCCTGTAATTTTTCAAAACTTTCCAACTGACTACTCTTTTTACAACTGTTCTTGTAAGTAAACATAAAGTTTGCCAAAGTGTTCTGCTTAGCAACCAAAAACTTTTAACTCATATGAGATTAAATTATCTTAATTCTAAATTAACAATATTAGGGAAATCTCTTTTCTATTGTAATATTTTTTCCATTAAATGGTAATGATTGATATAGAATATATTGGTTAAAAATGATGAAAATATAAAAAAAAACTTTTTGCACTTGATGACCTTTGACCTTCAAATTCTCTCAAAGATGTCCATAATATTTGTTGTTAAAATGTACCAAAACTGTCTAAAAAATAATGTTTGAAATTATTTGGTATGAAGCCGAGCCATATGCTATGTAATTTTGTTTGAATTGTGTTGAATGGGGACAGAAAGGCAAATTATGCTCTAAATTGGTACTAGAGTTTTGTTACTTAGCAACCAAAATTATCTATTTGTCTATAAAATTGAATTATTTGATTGTGATGTTTTTGTAGTATTTTAGAAGGCACATAAGTACATACACTTAGAATTTCCTTTTTTAGACTCTAGTCCAGTGAGAAGGATCCTGACATATACATTTAAGAGAAAAAATAGGGGAAAAATCTGCACTTATTTGACCATTGACCCCATACACGTCTTTAAGGTCAAGGGGTACCATGACAAAATATGTAAGAAAATTTTCTTTAAAAAATTCCTGACAAAATGATATGTCATACACCTACCTATAATCATAGTAAATACATATTAAAATCAGTTTTAAAAATATTATCATTTAGTCTGAAAAAAGTGCCGGTAGAGAAAGGGTTAAACAACATCAGACAATCCAAAAAAAATGTTGACAGATTCCTGGACACTTAACATTGTTAAAATTAACCAAACCAGGTTTGTCATCATATAAGCAGGAATCTTTGTGTTCCTTCCTTAATCAGCTTGTCATGATGCAAAGGGCGATGTTGTTGCACTTCAAACACTAGTGGAACAGCAAGATGTGAGGTTCGATAGTACAGAGGCCAAATCATCCTCTTTCACATTCCAGTATGCAATGAATTCCCATGCATAATCCAAGGAAGTAAATGCCAATTTACCACTCCTGCAAATTCTGATCAGTCAGAGAATTATCAGTGTTGGAATAGCAAAGATTGCTGGAAGTGGACTGAAATACGAACATATCCCCCAAGCTTTCAAAAGAAATCAAACAGAGGGTTTATTTGTCTTGTGCTAGGAAAAGTATAAATCATCTGTCCGTGTGACAAAGTCCAAAAAAGTCATTGAAAATATGATCACTATTTTGCTAAATTAAGTGAAAGTTAAGATTGTTTAAAGGATATTATTATACCCCCGCTCCGAAGGAGAAGGGGGTGTACTGTTTTACCCTTGTGTATCTGTCTGTCATTCTGTCTGTCCGTCCGTCTGTGTATCTGTCTGTTTGTAACAAAATTTTCGTCACAGTTTTCTCAGCAACAAATTTCAACTTCCTGTTTATCTGCGTGTCTGTCCGTACAAATTTTGGTTGCAGTTTTCTCAGCAACTACCGATTGCAGATGCTTGAAATTTTAGCACACTCTTTGTTTAAGCATGCCATATGGTGGGATTAATTTTAGTACGAATCCGCTGTCAACTTTCTGTTTATCCGTGTGTCTGTCCGTACCATCCAGAACAAATTTTGGTCGCAGTTTTCTCAGGAACTACTAATTGCAGATGCTTGAAATTTTAGCACACTCTTTGTTTAAGCATGCCATATGGTGGGATTCATTTTAGTACGAATCCGCTGTCAACTTCCTGTTTATCCGTACGTGTGTCTGTCCGTACCATCCAGAACAAATTTTGGTCGCAGTTTTCTCAGGAACTACTAATTGCAGATGCTTGAAATTTTAGCACACTCCTCGTTTGGGCCTGCAATAAGGTGGGATTCATTTTTGTACGAATCTGATGTCAACTTCTTGTTCAACCTTGTGTCTGTCCTTAACTGTACTTGTGTACATTCACATCAAAGCGGGGGTGTTACTAGTGAGCATTGGCTCTCAGACTTCTTGTTATACCTCTACTGTTTTATAAGAGTAAATCGATATATTTTGCCGATTCCCTGAAAATCACCGTGAAAAGACCGATTCCCTGCA